CCCGCGAGGTGGTGGGGTTCGCCCGGGCGCAGGCCTTGGAAGGCGGGGCGTGGAAGGAACACCCGTTGGTACTCCCGAGCGCGGTCGCGTTGGGGGCCGCGGTGTTGGCCTGCGAGGGGGAATCCCTCGAGGGGGGTCGGTTTTTAATGGCCCTGGTGGATCTTAAAGCGGACGGGGAGGCCTCGGAGGTCGGGGCCGCCTTACAGGACGCCCAGCTCGCCGCGTTCGGCCACATTATGCGGCATCTCGTCTTTGCCGGGGGTACCCGCGTCGCCGGGCATGACCGACGCGTCATCGCGCATATGGCCTCCGAGGCGTACGCCGCGTCCTATCCAAAGTTGGAGCGGGGGTTGGAGCTCGCGGGGATCCCGACGAACCTCGTGGAGGAGCTCCGGGCGGGGATGATCCTCGCCAACGGACTGGGCGCGATGCGGCGGAAAATCAAGGAGAAGTTTATCACCTGGGCGACGGCGTCGTAGGTGGGGGGCGCGGGCGTTTTTTCTTGTGGGATGGCTGTGGGTTGAAAGCGCGGAAGGATGCCCGAAAATTCGTGGAACGGCCGGTGGTTGAGGCCTCACGCCACACGCGATCCCCCCTTTTCACCCTCCTCCGGCATTTCTTTCATTCAGGGTAGTTTGCGTTGGAAGGCAGGCTTCTGTTGTATCTTTTTTTTTTTTTATATGTGTGTGTGTGTGTGTGTGTGTGTGGCTTCTATGACTAATCCATAGATATTTAAGTTGTTGTTTGTATTGTATAATATTTAGGCCAATTATGACGATTGATGGGTTCCTATTTTAATCATTTCGAAACCGAGTCATGCGGAAAACAACTACAAACTCTTTTTTTTCCCCCTTTCAAAAAAGGATAACACCACCTTGGAGATACAATTATAGTCTTGAGATATTTATCTTTAAAGTAAACAAAAAGAGAAAAAATAAAAACTTATTCATCGAGAAGGACCGTTAAAAAAAATATATATATATATATCTACATATATAATAATAAAGAAAAGAACCCCATCGATTCCACGCCATAACCCCTCACAAAACCTTTCCCCATGCTTCGTTTTCGCGTCATTCCGAGGTTGGCGATGCTTTCGGGCTTCCGGATGGCGACGATCACCCCGCTTCCGATGCCCGCGCTCTCCCCGACGATGGAAAAAGGCAAGATCGTCGAGTGGTGCAAGCAGGTCGGCGATCCCGTCAAGATGGGGGATACGCTGTGCAAGGTCGAAACCGATAAGGCCGTGGTGACCTACGACAGCACCGCCGACGACGGCTTCATCGCGCGGGTGATGGCCGATCCGGGGAAGGAGGTCGCCGTCGGCGAGACCGTCTGCCTGCTCGTCGAGGAGAAGGCCGATCTCGACTCCGACGAGGTGAAGCAGTGGAAACCGGAGGCGAACGGAGACGGGGACGAGGCCAGCGTCGCGGCGTCGACCCCGGCGCCCGTGGCGGCCGCGCCGACGATGACACCGGCATCCCCTTCCGGATCCCCGGCGGGGGATCGGATTAAAGCCTCCCCGTACGCGAAGAAACTCGCCGCGGCGGCGGACCTTCCCTTGGCGGGCCTTCAAGGCACCGGCGGTGGGGTGAATCGGATCACCGCGAAGGACGTCGAGGCGGCGCTCGCGCAGAAAGCGGCGGCGGCGGTCTCCACGCCTCCTCCTCCCGCTCGCGCGGCGCCGACGGAAGCGGGCAAACCCGCCAAGCCGAAGGCCGAACCCGCGGCGAACGCGCACTTCACCGACCTCCCCGTTTCCAACATGCGCGGAATCATCGCGAAGCGGTTGCATCAGTCGAAGAATCTCGAGATCCCGCATTACTACCTCTACGATCAGTGCGCGGTGGATAACATGCTGAGCCTGATTAAGCAGCTCAACGCGAAAGGGAATGGGGAGTATAAGATTACCGTGAACGATTACATCATTAAGGCGGTGGCGCGCGCGAATGGGTTGGTTCCCGAGGTGAATGCCTCCTGGCAAGGGGATGTGATTCGTCAATACCACACCGTGGACGTCGCCGTGGCGGTGGCGACCCCGACCGGGTTGATCACCCCGATTATCTTCAACGCCCACGCCAAAGGGCTTGTGCAGATCTCGAAGGATATGAAGACGCTCGCGAAAAAGGCGCGGGAGAACGCGCTGCAGCCACATGAGTTCCAAGGGGGCACCTGCTCCGTTTCCAACCTCGGCGCGACCGGGATTCCGGGCTTCTCCGCGATTATCAACCCCCCACAGGCGATGATCCTCGCGGTGGGCTCCGCCAAGCCGCGACCGAAGATGGTGAAGAACGAGGAGACCGGCGCGTTTGAGATGACGGGGGCCGTCGAGATGGCGGTGGATTTCACCGCCTCGTTTGATCACCGCGTCGTGGATGGGGCGATCGGCGCGAAGTGGTTCCAGGGCTTCCGCGACGCGATCGAGAACCCGCTCTCGCTCCTCCTTTAACGGCGCGAATCGTCTTTATGAAGGGAAGAAGAAGAGAAAGGGGAGAAAAACAGGAGAGGAGGGGGGCAGGGGTAGTCGTCGGAACATAGAATAGTATATTTGCAAAGTAAAAAAAGCAAAAAAGGAAAGAAAGGTATGCATAGCAAAATATGGGAAGTCCAAAATGAAAGCGACCCGAATAGTAATGTTTGAAGTCAATGCCTATTGAATATTTTTATATCAAGAGATTTTTAACACACAGACAATATATATATATATATATATATATATGAATAAATGCTTTTCATATGAGTTTTGGATATTGTTCTCAGAACTCTTCTTATTTTGTGTGCCAGCTTTTTCCTGTTTTTATTCGTATTTCACTATTACCGCGCGTAATGAACAATCGTGTACCATTAGTACCAATAATTATAAGCTACCATGTCTTCTCCTCTCCTTCGTTTGGGTTCTCGTAGAGCGGGAACTGCATATAGCTAATACCAACTGAATTGCGTCATAAAAAGAAAGAAGCTGGTTTTCTAAAAAAAAAAGTGTTTCATAACGTAAAATGGTCAGCAGTGTTTTGGTTTGATTGTATGTATTTTGGCTTTGATTTACGTTTTTCTTAAAAAGAGAAAGGGCCAATCAAATATGCAGGGTTATGGTGGCTTTCAGGCGGGTGGTTTGTTTGTGTTGCTTCCTTTTGAAGGACAAGCAATACCTCTGAAATAATCGTGACTAAACTTTTTCTAGATTTCAATATCGTAAACTTTACGGGAAGGTGCTTTGCTTTTTGTTTTTCGTTACCTAAAAGGTAAAATATTTGTTCAAAAAAGTGCATTTCAGTAAGCAAAGGGGGTAAGGTGGGATACTAATAATAATAAAAAAGAACTGCAATTCGATGGGTACGGAGAAATAGGCCCTCTAAGGTGACGCAAAACTATTACTATGATTGTTGGTGTGTCTAAGTTTTTGTTGATTTTAAAGTGAAGAAAAGGATTCCTCTAAGGAAAGGCATCGAAGTTACCGTCTTTATATATATGTATATATATATATATATATATATATGTATGCATATGTATGTATATATATATATATTTAAAGTTCGAAAAACAAAACTAATATATAATTTTGCTTACATATGCATACATGTTTAAGCAAAAGCGTGTTGAAGCAATAACTTCTATCCTGGAAACGGAATTTAGCAGATAATCGCTTTTTTATTTCATCCATTTGATTTAGCCTCTCTAAATGTTTTTCTTTCTCGCATGCCCTATTGTGTGGGGGCAGCCTCATGTGTCCGATCGATCTTGCTAACTGTCTCCGTGCTTCCTTCTCGCTTTTTTCATTGGTTACAACATTTTTTACTAGGCTCCTCTTTACTCCAGCCGTGTGGTTTCCCTACGAGGAGGATGTCATGCCCGGAGGGTGAAAAAGTGGAATCCTTCAAGCGGGCCCGCGCTTCGTCCGGGGCGCGGGCGGACGACCCCTCCACCCCCCTCCCAATCCACGAAAAGCTCACCCACCCGGCGGCCTACGAGCGCACCCACGTCCATCACGTCTACGAGAAGATCGCCGCGCACTTTTCCGCGACCCGGTATCGCGCGTGGCCGCGGGTGCGGCGGTTTCTCGAATCCCTCCCCCCCCACGCGATGATCGCGGATGTCGGGTGCGGGAATGGAAAATACTTCGCCTGCGCGCAGCGCCGGAGCGTTTCACTTTCCTCACCTTCCTCACCTTCCGCGTCGGAATCGATTCCAACGCGGCGATACGTGATCGGGGTGGATTACAGCGCCGCGCTGCTGCTTCAGGCGCAGCGTGCGGTGGCGGATCCGAACGTCATGGGTGCTCCCGCGGCCTCGGCCTCGGTTTCGTCATCTGCGAAAGGGGCGAAAGGGGAAAAAAAAGGCAAGGGAAGCGTGGTGGAGCGGCAGCCTTGGACGGATTCGATTCGTTGCGATGCCCGCCGCAGCCCTCTCCGTGGGGGCCTCTTCGACGCAGTGATCAGCATCGCGGTGATTCACCACTACGCGACCGGGGAGCGTCGACGGGAGGCCATCCGGGAACTCCTTCGCCTCGCGCGAAGCGGGGGTGGGTGGGTATTAATTTACGTCTGGGCAAGAGGGGAGGCAGGAGAGAAGGAAAGGGAAGGGGAAGAGGCGCGAACGAAGGAAGGGGAGGGTGGAAACGACGATAAAAAGACCGCCCGACGGGGGGATCCCCACACCGGCGACGCCCTCATCCCATGGGAGATGCACACGCGGTTTCGCTCCGACGCGGAGGACGAGCCGCGCGTCTTCCACCGGTTTTATCACCTCTTCGCGGAAGGGGAGTTGCGGGATTTGTGTTTGGCGGCCGCGGCGGAGGCTGGGATGGGGGTACGCGTACGAGAGAGTTACTTTGATAAAGAAAACTGGTGTATTTTACTAGAAAAGGACTAATAACGCTCCCCCAGAGGCGGGAAAAGGGGAGAACGGTGTATGGATACCCCAACCATTTGGAGGGATCGACCTATATGTGGCTTCCACCTGCGTTGTCGTTGTGGTTGTCGTTAGGTTTGTTTGTTTGTTACTTTTTTCACTCCTGCCCTGACAAAAGCGACCTCCTCTTCCCCTCGCTTTTTTTTTTCTTTTTTTT